TCTCTGCTTCATCTCAGGAAGCACGAGTGTGGGGATGTTTCGGAGGTAGGGGGTTTCAGAAAGATTGCTGGAAAAATGTGTACACGAGGGAGGGGAGGTGGTATCAGCTGCTGCTGCTGGGGGTTGGGGGGATTCTGTCTGAGCACAGGGCTTCATGTCCAGCAGGGTTGGAGGCATTCATGGTTTACCTCTACCTTTAAAAAAATTTTTTTTTTTAGGCAATTGGGGTTAAGTGACTTGCCCAGGGTCACACAGCTAGTGTCAAGTATTTGGTCCGAGGCTGGATTTGAACTCAGGTCCTCCTGACTTCAGGGCTGGTACTCTACCCACTGCGCCACCTAGCTGCCCCTACATCTACCTTTGAGACGCAGACTTGGACGTGGAAGCTCCTAGACCTCGGGCAGTAGCCAGTTTGTGACCCCTCATCTGTGAGATGATAGAGGCATCAGAAAGTAGCCCCCTTCCTGCCATCTTTAGGGCAGTTCATCATGCCAACATGTACAACTTCTCTAGACTGACCAGGGAAGGGCCGGGCGAAGGTTGGACTCCTGGCCTTCTCTCTAGGGGTGGGGGTTGTGAGGAGATAGCATGATTTTTCCTAGGCCCACAGGTGTTGGAAGCATTTACCATGATACTTTTATCTAAACTGTTTTTGTGTTTATTATGATGAGCAGTCATGAAGCAAATCCTGACTGATCTAAAAAAAGGGAGCTTCAGTGGGTGGCGACTCTGAGCATTATCATGAATATTTACTCTGTCACAATAAAAAGGAACTGTCACTGCCACAAACGTTTATTAAGGGCCTACCGTGTGTCAGGTTCTGCCTCAGGCACTGGGGGAAGATGCAAGTTCCTTGAGAGATCTCCCCACCCCCAAAATCTGGCATCCTTCCCTAGAATTTTCCCTTAATCCCAATCCTTAAGTCCCTTTAGTATCCCCTCACCACACAACTGCAGGGATTCTTATGAAATCAGAATAGAACTTTTACAACTTCTCCCCTCCTCCTCTTGGATGTGACCTTGAGGACAAAGAGAAGGAGGCTCATCTGTATTCCACAATGACAGAGCCCTTCAGATATCTGAATGCAGCTATTAGAACCTCTTCTCCAGGCTTAACTTGGCCAGGTCCTTCAGCTGATGCCCATAGGACACAGGGCCCCAAACCCTTCGTTATCACGGCCGTCCTCCTCCGCACACTCCAGTTTACCAAGACCCTTCCTAAGCTGTGCAGCCCAGAACTGAACGCAGCGTTGCAGATGAGGCCTGCTGAAGGCAGAGTAAAGCAGACTATCTCTCATCTTTCCCACAAGTCTGAGATACTTTATCAGAGGCTTTGCTCAAACAGAGGTACATCATGTCTGCGACCTTCCTTCCGTTTACCTGACTCCAAATCCAATGTTCTCTCCACACATCATCGTATTGGCAAGGTCATTAGGATATGCTTCTGATGTTCTCCATAAGGTGGCAGAGCCAGGGACGACATTTCCTAGGGCTTCATTTCCCACGATGCTTGGAGGCCAGAGAACAGTGCTCACTGGAAGAAATTCTCCGGACTGTATTTCCTAGAAGACTGCATGTCTAGCCCAGGACAGTGGTCTCTATGGGCAAGGAGTCTGGCCAGGAATGTCTTGGCAAGTGAAAGGTTTAGAAGAGCCTGGAGAAGCCCAGGTGGCCAGCAGAGAGGGGGATGGCAAGTGGAAGGCTATAGATGGAGAGAGGAAGCTGAACAGGAGGGCCTGGAGCTGCTGAGCCATGAATATCCTGAGAGCCAGCTCCCAGCAGAATCTGGAGGCTTCTGGGACTGGGCCAAGGGGCTTCACTACATCACCCATCGGGGCCCCAGAGGGGCAGGAGAGGGGGCCCCCAAGAGTGAATGAGGCATTTATTAAGCACTTACTGTGTGCTAAGTGCTGAGGATGCAAATGGAAAAGAGGGTCCCATCCCCCAGCAGCTCCCCGTCTAGTGAGGGAGACAACCTCCAGGGAAGCTTTCAGCTGCACGTCAGATGGAAAGGTCCCCTGGTCCTTGGGGTGCAGCGGCCAAGCAGAGGGTCAGGCCTCTTCTTAGTGTCATTTCCACCAATAAAATGATGGTGGTTTCTGGTACTGAGCCATTTGATGGGGCCAAGGACTTTGGTGACAAGAGCTTTCCTTTTCTGGGTTCTCAGGCCCCTGCAGGGGCATTTGCCAGACTGCATCTCCACAGGGGGATGGCTGCAGGCAATGGGCAGGAGGCACTCTACTCCCAAGGCCCTTGGGGTCAGCATCTTGGGCTCTGTCCATCAGGGCCTGAGGGGAGATGGGGGTCAAGATGGTGCTAGCGGTTTGGCACCACCTCCTATCTCTCCCCCAGGTCTTCTCCTACTTCACGAGGATGTAGACATTGCTATCTGGAGTCAAGAATTACATCCCTTGGGGCAGCTAGGTGGTGAAGTGGATAGAGCACCAGCCCTGGAGTCAGGAGGACCTGAGTTCAAATGTGACCTCAGACACATAACATTTACTAGATATGTGACCCTGGGCAAATCACTTAACCCCACTGCCTACCTAACAAAAACAAAAACAAAAAAGCAAACAAACACAAAAAGAATTACATCCTTCTTGGGGTTTTGGCAGGGAAGGGGGTGGCATAGATTAGTGGAGATTAAGAGTAGGCGAGTTTATAATCCCCTTGAAACCTGTAAATGGTTATGGGGGAGCAAAGAGTGAACAAGTGAAAGAATGATAAAGAAGAATAAATAGTGTAATAATAATATTATCATTATAATATATCATTATGACAATAATACAATAATAATAAGTAAATAATAAAGAATAACAAAAAAGCATTTATTAAGGATTACTACGTGTCAGCCAGTGTCCTAAGTGGGGATACAGATACAAAAGGCATGATCATCCTTGCCCTCAAGTTTGCAATCTAATAGAGACTGTCAACACATACATATGAGTGTATATAGGTGTATATGTATATATGGAGAGAGAGAGAGAGAGAGAGAGAGAGAGAGAGAGAGAGAGAGAGAGAGAGAGAGAGAGAGAGAGAGAGAGAGAGACAGGAGTGTGGTCAGGCCGGGGTATTTTGCTTTAGCATGTCATGAGGAAGTGAGTGGAGTCCTAGGGTGATTGGCCCATGCATCCTTTCTAGGAATGGTAGGGGAAGAGGGATAGGAAATGTGGTTGAGAAAGACCCTACTGCACGATTCCCACATCACCTCTTCCCTGGACTTCTGAAAACAGCCTCCTCCCTGGTCTCCCTGCCTCCAGACATCTGTCAAATCCATCCTCCTCCATGTAGCTGCCAAACTAGTATTCCTAAAACACAGGTCTGGCCCACATCACTCCATTGCTCAGCAAAGTCCAAGCGGCTCTCTACTGTCTCTAGCTGGATCAAATACAAACTCCTCTATTGGCCTTTTATAGCCAGACTCCCAGCTACCTAACTGGGCTCATCATTCACTACTCCCTTTCCAGCCCCCTTTGAGCCTAGGCAAGCTGGCTTTTTTTTTTTTTTGGTGAGGCAATTGGGGTTAAGTGACTTGCCCAGAGTCACACAGCTAAGAAGTGTTAAGTGTCTGAGGCTGGCTTTGAACTCAGGTCCTCCTGACTCCAAGGCCAGAGCTCTATTCACTGCGCCACCTAGCTACCCCTCAAGCTGGCTTTCTTGCTATTTCCCACAGAAGTCAGTCAGTTAATAAACACTGATTAAGCACCTACTGTGCCTGGCACTGTGCTAAGTGCTGGGGTTACAAAGACAGTCCCAGGCCAAAGACAGTCCTTGCCCTCAAGGAGCTTATGATCTAATGGGAGAGACAATAAGCAAACACATGTACTGACCAGCTTAGCCAGGACAAATAAGAAACAGAGGGAAAGAATCAGTATTAAGGGAGAATGGGAAAGGACTCCTGTAAAAGGTGGGATTTTAGCTGGGACAGGAGGCAGAGATGAAGAGGGAAAGCAGCCTTCCAGTCTTGGAGGAGAGCCAGAGAAAATCCCCAGGGATGGAGTGTTTTGTATGTGGAAGAGCAAGAAGACCAGAGAAACTGGATCAGAATATGTCTGTGTTGTAAGGTGTAAGGAGAAGGGAAAGATGGGGAGGTGCTGTATGGCAGTCCATTTCCTGCCTCCAGCACGGTCATGGGCTGTGACCCCTGCCTGGAGTGCTCTCCCTCCTCATCTCTGTCTCTTGGCTTCAAGTCCAAGCTAAAATCGCACCTTTGACAGGAATCCTTTCCTGATCCCTCGATTCTAGTCTTCCCTCTATTGATTATTTCCAGTTTATCCTGTACAATACTTATTTGTACACAAATGTTTGCATGTTGTCTCTGCTGTTAGACTGTGAGCCCACTGAAGGCAAGGATTGTCTTTTGCCTCTTTATGTATCCCTAGTGCTCAGCATAGAGCCTGGTATACAGTAGGCGCTTAGTCAATGCTTGCTGTCTGAGTTATTTACATTGCTGCTTCTCGGTCCTAATTAAATACTTTTGCAGTTGGATTTTCGGCTCCCACAGTCTGAGGAGGGCATTGGGCCCAGCCCAATGTCTAAGCCTCAGTTTCCCAGGCTGTACAAGGGGCTGGAGCTGGCGGGGAGGTCCCGTGGGGTAGCGTTTGCTTCCTGCCCGGCTCCCCTCCGCCTCCGTCAGCCCGGGTGTAGCCGCGAGCGAAGAGAACAGACCGAGGCCGCCCCCGCAGCCCCAATCCCAGAGAGCCCCCACATCTGCTTACCTCAACCTCTCGAAGGTAAGCCTTCCGATGGGCACTCCTCATCACCAATCCGTAGTCTCGCTTCCGGGCAGCAGCCAATGGCGACGCTCTCTGGGCCTCTGGGGCGGGACGTCGTGACGTCAGAGGGGCGAGTGGGCGCAGTTGCTATGGCTGCGGACGCGACGGCCCGAGAAGGGGCGGAGTGGGGCCGTTGCCATGAAGCCCAGGCAGGTCACAGTGAGATTCTGGCTTCTGATTGGGTAATTCTGGGTCAGAGGCGGGATTTCCGGTTCCCCATGCAAGAGGAGGTGCGAAGGACCGGAAAGGGAGGGTCCCAGCGTGCGCGGAGCTCCGACCCAGTCCTGGGTACTGGAGTGTCCGGCCCGGGAGGGAGGGAGGGTTCCCGGGAGGGGAATCCGGGAAGGTCCCCGCCACCCGCAATGGGCTCTGCCGACTTGGACGTGACCATTCAGATCCCGGAGCCGGTCTCGCACTATCAGGGTATGGGGCTGGGGCTGGGGGGGCGGAAGGGGGCGGGACTTCTTTCAGGGGTCCCCCATACAGCCACAAGCTTCCCTCATCCACCCGTGGGTCCTTGTGCAGATGCCCCCCCCCCATACGCCCCCCGGGGCACCCCTCACCGGGGTCTCCCTATACACCATGAGTCCCGTGCAGGGGCTCCAAGCACCCCCAGGGCTCCTTTCATACACCCTTGGGCAGGTTCCCCATGAGCACCCCGTACTGTGCAGGGGCTCCACCATACGCCCTCAGGGCTTCTCGCACACATCCGTGGGGTTTCCCTCATATACCTATGGGTGCCTGTGCAGGGTCTCCCTGCATCTCTTGCCTCCCTAGGCGCTTTGCAGAGCCCCAGCCCCCATCTTCCCTTCCCGTTCCTGCTTGATGACCAGGAGACCTGCCTTACAGGTTCCTGGTCAGCCTTGGAACATGAGAGCCCCACAGGGGAGGGCTGGAACAGCTGCTTCCGTCATGACACAGTGCCTTGAAACAGGAGAGCTCAGAAATAACACTGAGCTTTAACTTCATGTCTGACAAGCCCCTTGAGATCTCCTAACAGTTAAAGCTGGGAGGGTCCTCAGAGCTCATCCAGTCTTCCCCCTCTCAATTTCACTGATGAGGAATCAGGCCTAGAGAGGGCCAGAGACTTGCCCAGAGTCACACAGGGAGTGAGGGACAGGTGGGATTCCATTCCAGGGCTGGGTGGCTCTGTCCACCACACCAGACTGAGGGGCAGCTTGGGACAGACCTGGTCTTAGTCTCCTGACTGCCTGACTTTGGCCCAAGACTGTGGGGAACACAGTTTCATAGGCCCCTGCTGCCATCTTGGTCAGCCTGGTTACTTTACTGATGCTGGCTCTGAGAGTCTGAGGGCCTTCCTAGAAGCCTGGTGGCTTTGGATATTTTTCCAGACAGAATGTCAGACCTGAGCATCACAAGGACTCCCCTTCTCTGAGGAAGGAAGAGAAAGGCTTGATGAGATTGAGGGATGAAGTTGATCAATCACAAGGTCTCACAGTGGGAAGGGATCTGAGTCCTCCAGATGTCTGACTTGGGAGATGTGGGTTAGTGTTGTTTCTTCCATCCAGCCTTTCCTGGTTTGCTTGTATTTTTGGGGGGTAACCCAAGCATTTGATTTGACATTTATTCCTATTCAATCTCTTAATAAAGTCAGAATGTCACTCTAGTCTACTAAGCTCTTTTCTGGTCTTGACTTTATCATCCAGCATGTCCGCCATCCGGAGTCGAGATCCATCTTTGACCTCTGATTGGGTGATTATGGGATGGGGTGGGATTTCCAGTTCCTTAAGTGAGAGATGTTCAGGACAGAGTAATTGACTTTAAAATGTTTTTTTTTTGGAGGGGGAAAGACCTGGTTTTGAATCTACCCCCCCCACTTTCTTTCCACACATCACAAGGTTAGCAACCTGTGGTAAAGCACCTACTATGTGCTAGGCAACTGGAGGCACCAAGATAAAGATTGAAAAAATTTTGAAGCAATTCTGCCTGCAAGGAGCTGATATTTTAAGGGGATAGCAAGTAGGACATAGATACATTATCAACAAAATCTATATATATATAGCAGGGAGGGGAATCAGGAAAGGCTTCATGTCAAAGAGGGATGATGTCGGGTGTAGAAAGTAAGGAGGGAGGGCATTCCAAGCATAGGAAACATGGAGACAGGAGATGGAGTGCCACGTTCAAGAAACCGAGGCAAGGCCAGTTTGGCCTGCTCTGGAGTGTGGGAGGGTGGGGGCAGGGAGGAGTAAAGTCCAATGAGGCTGGAAAGGTGGGGCAGAGGAGGTTACGAAGGGTTTTAAAAGCCAGCGGGGAGGATGGGGAGCCATTGGGTAAGTCCAGAAGGTAAACACAGGGAGAGTGGGTGTTTGGGCACAGGGAACAGGCAGGCCAAAGGCTAAGCAAGTGATATCTTTGGGGTGGGGGCAGAGAGAGCACCCTGTGAGTCTCTGTCCTCCAGTTCACAGCCAAATTCTGAGAAAAAGACGTCTCTCCTTGTTGATATCTGCTTTCTTACTCCCCCCCCATTTCTCAAGCTGCCCTCAACCTGGGATTTCCTTTTGGCCATACCCTGGCTCCTTCTCAAGCTCTTGGCAGGTTTTGACCTTGGCCATCCCTTCCTTCAGTGACCAGTGTGGCCCCGAATGCTCTTCACATCTTGTTCTGGCTAGTCTGACCACTGCTGGGAGGCAGCTTGGGTCACCCTGGGTTCAGAGCCTCTCTTGGACCCCTAACTAGTGGGGTGACCAAGGCTAACTGCTTGGCCTTTTTCCTCTTCTCTAATAATTGCAGCATCTGTAAAATGAGGATAATAATAGCACCCATGCCCCAGGGTTGTTGTGAGGATTAAATGAGATAATAATTGCAAATCTCTTAGGGCAGTGCCAGGCACATAGTGGGAGCTTAATAAATGTTTGTTCCCTTCCTTTTAAACCCATCTAGGGCCACTGATCCCCCTAAGGCCCTTCATAATCTAGATCGAGCCTCTGCCTTTTCAGACTCAGTCATGAGCACCCCGGAGTGGAAGGGGCTTTATGCATGAAGGAAGTTAGGGAGTCTGAGAGGCAGGAATGAGGAGGGAGGGCATTTCGGGCACGGGGGACAGACAGCCTGGATGAAAGCTTGGAGATGGAAAATGAAGCGCTTTGGATGGAGAGCAATGGCAAGGCCAGTTTGACTGGACCAAAGAGTGTGTGAAGGGTGCAATAAGTTGCAAAGGCTTTATTTTTGGCCTTGGTGGTAATAGGGAGCCAGGGGAGTTTTGTGGAAGGGGAGTTTCATGGTTAGACTTGCACTTTTAAGAAAATCCCTTTGGCAGCTGTGTAATGGCTGGAATGGAGTGAGAAGAGGTGGAGCAGAGTAATGAGCCCAAAGTCTATGGCAATAGTCTAGGCTAGAGGTGACAAGGGCCCACATCAGAGAAATGGCCAGGGTTGGTGTTGGGGAGGGACAGGAAGGTAGAACTTTATCGGAAAAATTTGATGACATACTGGATCCGTGGAGGGAGTTAGGGCAGGCCAGAGACCCTATAAGGACTGCAAAGACAGGGAAGGACCGTCTCTGGGAGTGGGTGGGCTGTAACTGACCAGACAGAAGGCCTAGCTGCTCCATTCATAGTTTGCTTCTGTTTTCTCCATGAAGGAGATTGGGATTGGGAAGGACAGAACAAAAATGATGTAGATGGATTTGTTACCCAAGATGAGTATGGAGATGGAGAGCTCTGAGCTGCCCTTTGTGAGTGCCCCTCGGTCTAGGGGCTTTAACTGCTGAGCCACTGTCAGTCATGTAGTGGTGGGGGGACGGCAGGGGGAGGAAAGGACAAACAACTTGGTTTTCAAAAAAAGGGAAGACAGGCATTTCTGTGGCTGTGGGACAGTGAGCTTGGGTTTGATTCCTGGGAGAATTGTGGACCAACTAAACATGTGACTAGGGAATCTCTCCAAAAGGAAGCAGCAGCTGCAATAGCTGGGAGCTTCCTTAAGAACCGCTGTGACAAGCTACCCGACTTCCCTGATAGATCAGGGAAATGCTAGAGCCAGTAATTTACCTGGAGTTTCGCAGAATGTTTGATAAAGTAGCCGGGACCTGTTCTCTTGGGAAAGATGGAGAGATAGAACACAGTTGGATGGATTCCAAACTGGTCGTGTTGCTCAACTCCGAGAGTCACTGCTAATGGTTCATGTCAGCTTGGCAGAGGTCTCCCAGGGATCTGGGCTTTTTTACCTGCCTAATGATTTGGTTAAAGGCCAAAGTGCATGCTTTTCAGATCTGCAGCTGATGTAAAGCTGAGAGGGAGAGCCCACACACCTGAGGATCCTGACGGGCCAGACAGAGCATTGGGCTATGTTTAATGAGAGGAAATCTAATAGCAGTAAATGCACAATAGGTTGGATAGAAAAAACATTCAGCTGCCCAGGGACAGCCCAGGGGAGGCTTGGTTAGACAACACTTGGTCTGAAAAAGAACTCGGCCTTTTTTTTGGTGGGCTGGAAGCTCAGTGAGTCAGCAGGGTGATGGGACTGCCCACAAAGCTCAAAGGAGCTTAGGTTGTATTAAGGGGTCCAGGAATAAGGAGGTGGTGGGCCCTCTCTACCACCTGAGGCGGATCGCATGTGGCCGGTGATGTTCAGTGCTAGGGGCCCCTTAAGAAGGCTGTGGATCAGCTAGAGAGTGGCCAGAGGAAGGGAGGAGCCAGTGTGATGAAGGACCCAGAGTCCATGTCCCATGAGGACTGGGAGTGCTGGTCTGGAGAAAACATGCCTTGGCATGGGGTGGGGAAATGTACCCTTTGGATATGTGAAGACCTGTCACTCAGACTCGGGAGCAGAACCAGGGGCCATGGAGGGAAGGGGCAGAGAGGCCCACTGAGGCAGGATGGAGTGGTCTGCCCTTCGAGGGGCTGGGCTCTCCATCGCTTCAAGCTGAGGCTGGCAGGCCTCTTGTTGGGTGTGTTACAGGCATGGGTGGCACTCAAGGCTGCTAGGGTCCCTGCTGACTCCCACATCATGGGACTCCTGGCTCCTTCCCAGGATTTCTGGGCATCTTTCCTGCTTGTCTTTTTTCTGCTCTGTTCCTCTCTGTGGAATCTGTCTTGCTGTATCTACCTCTGCCGTTTTCTTCTTCTCTCCTCCTTTTCCATTTAAAGCCCCTTTGATCTGATTTGCAAGACACTTGGAAAGTGGATTCTTTGTTGCCTTTGCCAGGTGCCCCCTGCCCCTGGCCAGGGGCTGTCTGCTGGCCCAGAAATAGAAATCCCATTGTCGTGCACTTTCTTTGAATCCAGCTCACTGCTGTTCCCTTTCCAGATGTACCTTCCTGCATGAATCCCTTCCCTTCCATAGGCGGCATTGATGGAAATAACACCTGTGCCCCATGGGGCATCCAGCTCCGGGCCGGACTGGGCTTCACCAGGGCTTTCTGGGCCCCTGCTGATAGCTGATCCCCAGCAGTGGGTGGTAGCCATC